CCGGCCGCACCAGGTCGCAACGGGTTACCTGTACCCGTACCCGGCCGTACCCTACCCGTACCCGGCTGGTATGGGTAGGGTACAGGTAGGGTACCGATTGCGACCTGGGATGAAGCCATATTGCAGGCGCGGGTGGGTTGATTCTAGGAACTGAATTGTGAGAAGAGACAAGACGTTGGGAAATGAGTGACAAACGGTGACTCACAGTGACTCACGGCCTACCCGTACCCATACCGGCCGCACCAGGGTCGCAAACGGGTACCCGTACCCGTACCGGCGGGTAGCCGGGTATCGGGTAGGGTACGGGTATCGGGTACCCGGTTGCGACCTAGGTGGAACTAAAAAAAACTCGCCAAAAGTCAAGTCGTGTCTGGATCAGTTATTACACCTCGATAAATTGGCTGCGTGCCGGGCTGGTGGCGGGGGGGCTGGTGGTGGGGGGGAGGTGGGTGGGGAGGTGTGGGGGTGGTGGGGGGGGGTGGTGGTGGGGGGGTGGTGGGTGGTGGGGGGTGGGGTGGACGGGGGGTCTGTAAATGAACCCCATCTGTGGGTCCGCGCCAGGAGGGTTCAGATTGTGTCCGGAGTTCGCGAGCTCTGGGGGGTGGGGGGTCGTATCGTTGACCGTCGCCGGCTACGCGAACCCAACGCGGTTGTGGTGGGGGGGGGGTGGGGGGGGGCACACGCGTGGTGCGTGTGGTGGCTCCCGCCACCGGACACCGGCCGCATTATTATAGCCGGCAGCGGTGGTGGTGGTGGTGGTGGTGGAGGTGGTGGTAGAGGTGGTGGTGGTGGAGGTGGTGGTGGTGGAGGTGGTGGTGTTGGTGGTGGTGGTGGAGGTGGTGGTGATGGAGGTGGTGGTGGTGGTTGTGGTGGTGGTGGTGGGAGGTGGTGGTGATGGAGGTGGTGGTGGAGGTGGTGGTGATGGAAGTGGTGGTGTTGGTGGAGGTGGGGTGGTGGAGGTGGTGGTGGTTGCGGTGGTGTTGGTGGAGGGTGGTGGTGGAGGTGGTGGTGGTGGTGGAGGTGGTGGTGGAGGTGGTGGTGGAGGTGGTGGTGGTGGTGGATGGAGGTGGTGGTGGTGGTGGTAGAGGTGGAGGTGGTGGTGGAGGTGGTGGTGGGGTGGAGGTGGTGGTGGTGGTGGTCGTGGTGGAGGTGGTAGAGGTGGTGGTGTTGGTGGAGGTGGTGTTGGTGGTGGAGGTGGTGGCTTCTGTAGCGGTCTGGATGGAAAGCGAGGAGGGGGAAAACTGTGGGGGGGGGGGGCAGAGTGAGGGAAGAGGGGGGGGGGGAGAGAGGGGATAGGGGCTGTGGGAGAGAGAGGGGATAGGGGAGAGAGGGGGAGGGGATAGGGGGGAGAGAGGGGATAGGGGAGAGAGAGGGGATAGGGGAGAGAGAGGGGAGGGGGGAGAGAGAGGGGAGAGGGGATAGGGGGGAGAGAGGGGATAGGGGAGTAAGGGGATAGGGCAGAGGGGGTTGGGGGGGGGGAAGAAGTTTGAGACCCCGACATGAGAGGTCTTTGCCAAGTTTCAGCCCCCCCCCTCCTTGTGAGTGTATGTGTGTGTATGTGTGTATGTGTGGTGTGTGTATGTGTGTGTGTATGTATGTGGATGTGTGTGTATGTGTGTGTATGTGTGTTGCTGAGGAGATGGAGTCTGCCTCAGTGGCCCGCGATCACAAATCAATCTTTAACTCCATCAAAAAAGTAACCTGCAGCGCCACACCTATTGCCATCATTAGGGGAAAGAACGGTGATCCAATCTCCGACCCCCAGGAAAGGTTTGCATATTTGCTGAGCATTTCTGTGAGGTCCTGGGGGAGGGGAAATCCTCAGCCAGGAAAACAACGTGGGACAAAGTGGGGATGACCCTGCTGAGGCTGCGGTGCCTCAAATATTGGAGGAGGATGTCACCCCTGTGAGTGGCTGGCTGAGGTG